CACATTATCAGCATCAACAAGCAAGTCCTCCACCACCAGTCCCAGCCATCACCACCACCACTACCACCACCACCCCAGCACGTGGACAACCTGCACAGGAAGCACCAGAAACAGGTTTGAATTTGAATTCAAATTTAAATGATAGTCCATTGGTCAATAAAGTGCATGAACACACTACCACCCCTATACACCAAAATGGCAAAAACTCAGACTACTTTCTCCCACACACCCTACACTTCCAACAGAGCTCACCAAACAGTGCTCAACCCCTCCTACTATCAAACCTAACCCATCACATCACTGAAAAAGCTATACCTACCAAGTCAAATGAGCCAACTAAGTCAAATGAGCTAACTAAGCCATATGAACCTACCAAGTCAAATGAGCTTACCAAGTCAAACAAATGGTCTGAAGTAGTCTCCCAACAAACCAACTTGATGGTCTTAGATTACATTAAACCATCTTCCTCTTACGGTAAGTCTGTCATTAAACCTCCAAAGGAAATGGCAATGGAAGGCATAAGGTTTTGGCAGGAAACCCATCTCATTGGACTACCCACACACAAAAGACTTCATTTCAAAGTCATTCAATCTTCAGCAACTAAGATATGGAACTCTTATGGACTCACTGACACAATACTTGGAGACAATGGTTCCTACATTTTTAGATTTCACACCAGCCATGAAGCTGAAAATGTCCTCACAAATGGCCCTTGGAGCTTAGCTGGGCATCCCTTCTCCCTCAAGAAATGGAGCCTTCAGCCTCCACCACACCACAGTATAACCTCTTGTATCCCAATTTGGGTTAAATTCTTCAACATACCTGCCCATTACTGGACTGCAACAGGTCTTAGTCACATAGCTAGCTCAGTAGGAATCCCCCTTTATGCAGATCATGCAACAGTGAGCAGAACTAAACTCAAATATGCAAGAATTTGTGTTGATATTGACATCTCGCAGCCCCTTTTAACTGAAGTTGAACTCATAATGGAGGATGATACAATTGAAAGAATTGGTATTGAGTACCAATGGCTGCCCAAAATATGCAAAAGGTGCAACAAGCTCAACCACACAGAGTTCTCATGCCCACTAAATGTCACTGAACACACCCCTGCAAGGGATAATAGCCCAGCCCCCAAAAGCCCCTCAAATGATTGGATTACTGTCAGGAAGAAAAGAAGGCAGACTGGGAATAAAGCTCCAGCAAATGATTCTCACACTAATAATCGATTCTCCCCTCTTCTACAAGCCAACCATGACACCAATCCACACCAATCTTTACAACACTCCCCATCACATGTATCTCCAACCCCTCCATCTTTACCTTCCAATCCCTCTACCCACTCCAAGCTGCAAGACAATGGCAATGTATCAAAATCACCTCAAAGATCAGCATCTCAAAATCCTAAAGTCCTAGTGAGAACACAACCCTCACCTTCATGCTGTAAAAAGCTATGCTACTCAAACCATAATAGCCCCACATCAAACCCTGCATCCTCATCCACTATCCCAACTTCACCAACAGCCACACATGTGAAGGTTCACACAATCCCAAGGAACCAAGATCATCACAGTGCTCCTGAGCTTATTCCAAAAACATACACAACCACCACATCACCAATTACAACACCTGCACACTTTCATTCTGGCTCAAGAGATCATGATAATCACAGTGCTCCAAGTATAACCCCAAGAAGATCCACAGTCAGACTTATGAAGTCTCAAGCAAGAAGAAACAAAAGCCTTAGCCCAGGTTTGATATCTTATGAGTCCCATGGGATTCAAAGGTATCCAGATCCCTCACTTCCCACCACTCCCCAATGATTTCCATCCTAGCATGGAATATTAGGGGGCTAAACATGCCCTCTAGACAGGCTGAGATCAAGAAGATAATCTCTGAGAAGAAACTAGATATACTATCTATTATAGAAACTAAAGTCTCCCCAGTTAATGTGGATGCAATCCACAATAAAATTGCAGCTCACTGGCACCTTGTCCACAACTACTCTTTCTCCCAGCTTGGCAGAATATGGGTTATGTGGAATCCCAATACCATTGATCTTGATGTTGTATGTACAATTAAGCAATCCATCCACTGCTCTATATCCATCATCGACCAAAATATCACCTTTTACTCCTCTTTCATTTATGCTTCTAACTTTGCTGCGGAAAGGCTCTCCCTATGGAAGGATATCAACCACCATTCTACTCTATTTGGCAACTCCCCTTGGCTGGTTATGGGTGATTTCAATATCATCTCTAATTCAGCTGAGAAGAATGGTGGTTCTGTTAGATGGAATCCAGCCATTACTGCCTTCTGTGAATGCTTACAACAAGCTGAACTTGAGGATCTTAGGTTCACTGGCATCTTATACACCTGGAATAACAAAAGCTTTGGCTCAGCCTGCATTGCCAAAAAGCTTGACAGGGCCCTCATCAACAAGCAATGGAACACCTCATTTCCAAGATCAGAGTGCACCTTTCTTACCCCTGGAGTATCTGACCACAGCCCCATTTTAGTTACAATTGATACTAACTCCCCCACAAGATGTTTACCTTTCAAGTTCTTCAATGCATGGTGCTCTCACCCTCTCTTTCTACCATCAGTTTAGAGTGCTTGGAACCATTATATTCCTGGGACAGCTATGTTCTAAGTGGTTAAAAAGCTGAAATCTCTAAAGCACATCCTCAAAACCAACTGCAAGGTGGACTTCTTAAATGTTGATTCCAAGCTACAGGCAGTTAAAATGGAGCTAGATACATGTCAAAAGGATCTTGATCTCTCCCCAAGTGATACTCAACTCAGACTGCTTGATCTCTCTCTTACTAAGGAGTACACAAGACTTTCAGATCTTCAAGAATGTATGCTCAAGCAAAAATCCAGAATGGTGTGGCTTAAGCTTGGGGACTGCAACTCATCCTACTTCCATAAATCAATTGCCTCTAGAGTTAACAGGAAGAAGATTTGTAGCTTAACTAATGCAAATGGAATTTGACTTGATAATGCAGATGGAATTATTCATGAAATTGTCTCATACTTTCAGAATTTGTTTGGTACAAGCCCTCCAACTACCCACACTCAAGCTGAACTCTCAAGAGTCATCACCAAGGCAGTTCCCTCACATCTTAACCAGATTTTGGATTCTATCCCATCTCCACATGAGTTCAATCTTGCATGTTATCTCTAAATAAGGATAAAGCTCCAGGCCCTGATGGCTACAATGCCATGTTCTTCCACCAAGCATGGAGCATTGTAGGTAATTCAACAATTAAGGCCATCTCTAAGTTTTTCAGGAATGGTAAGCTGCTAGGTGAAGCTAACTCTACATACATTTCCCTTGTCCCAAAGTGTCAAAACCCCTCCACCATCAATGATTACAGACCTATCTCATGCTGCGACACCATCTACAAATGTATCTCAAAGCTTTTAGCTAATAAGCTACAACTGGCTCTCCCTCACATCATTGATCACACCCAATCAGCCTTTGTTCAAGGCAGGAAGATTACTGACTCAGTATTACTCACTCATGAGCTATTGAGAGGTTATCACAGAGACATTCCCCCCCCCCCCCAAGGTGTGCTATCAAGATTGATCTTAAGAAGGCTTTCGACTCAGTTAAATGGGAGTTTACACTGGACTGTCTTTCCCATCTCAACTTCCCTCCAAGATTCATCAAGCTAATCCAAGCATGCATCACATCCCCATCCTTCACTGTTGCTATTAATGGAGAATTCAAGGGGTTTTTCAAAGGGAAAAGAGGCTTAAGACAAGGTGATCCTATTTCCCCATTCCTATTTGTCATTATCATGGATATTTTTACTTCAACTGTTAAGAATATTATCCCTAGAACCCCTAGATTCAGTTACCATTGGAGGTGCAAAGAGCTGGGTATCACCCATCTCTTATTTGCAGATGATCTTTTTCTCTTTTGCCATGGTGACATTACATCTGTATCCATCCTAAAATCAGCCTTGGACCACTTCTGCACCATGTCAGGACTCTCCATCAACCTGTCCAAAAGCTCAATATTCCTCTCAGGGGTAGATCCCTCTACTGAAGCAACTATTTTAAGCCTACTAGGAATTAATAAAGGTTATCTCCCTATTAGACACTTGGGGGTTCCTCTAGTCTCAACCTGTTTAAGGGCAGCTGACTGTAGGCCTCTCATTGAAAGGATCACCCACAGGATAACTCATTGGACCTCAAGGTCACTATCCTATGCAGGTAGGCTACAATTAATTAAATCTGTCCTAGTCTCTACCCAAGTCTACTGGTCAAGTATATTCATCCTTCCTAAAGGGGTTTTTGATGAGATCAATAGAATTCTCATGGCATTCCTTTGGTCTGGCATTGAAATGAAGTCCACAAGTGCCAAAATTGCTTGGATGGATATTTGTAAACCTAAGGAGGTAGGAGGTTTGGATATCCCTAACTTGGTTATTTCAAACCAAGCTGCAGTTATTAGATATATATGGGATCTTCTAACAGACATGTCAGATAGAGTTTGGATTAAATGGTGTAAGACTTACCTCATCAAAGGCAAGAACTTGTGGGCTTTAGCAATTCCTTAATCCTGTTCCTGGAGTTGGAGGAAACTCCTTCAACAGAGGCACCATGCAAGAAACTTCATTAAGCACCAAGTTGGAAATGGCATGTCTACTTGTTTCTGGTACGATAATTGGCTTCCTGCTGGACCATTGAGCACTCGTTTCCCTTCCCAAATCCTCACTGCAGCAGGTCTAGACCTTTCAACCACAGTAAGCCATTTCATTTCTGGTGGAACTTGGAATTTCCCTGCATCAATCTCTTCGGCAATCCCAGAACTCCTTGTACTTGGAGCTCCAAATAATTCAGGGAATGACAAACTGATTTGGGCAGCCTCACCATCTGGAAGTTTCAGCCACAAGCATACTGCAGCTCTCTTATCACCTTCTTCTCCATTGGTTTCATGGTACAACTTGGTTTGGAGATCTCCAGCTATACCACGAATGAAATTCATTATGTGGCTAGCTGTTCAAGGTCGCCTCCCTACTTTGGATAGAAGATCAATGGCTAGATTTGACAATGTATGTGCTCTGTGCAATGTCAACCCAGAATCTCATTCTCATCTGTTCTTCTCATGCGAGTATACTTCCCCAATTTGGACTTTCTTCAAGGCGAAATGCAAGATTTCTATTACAGCTTTGACATGGCCGGAAATTGCTTCAGTCTTCAGTATCCAGTGGTCTTCTCCATCACCTTGGAATCTACTTAGAAAGCTCTGCCTCGCGACTTTGGTATATCACATTTGGGAGGAGAGAAATACCCGTATCTTCCGTGGATCAAAGCTATCACAGAATTCAATTCGGGCAAGGATTTACCACACCATCACCTCTATCATGAAATTAGGGATCTTCAGGGATTCCATTACTGCGCATCACATTCTCAAGGACTGGGATCTTTCGCCGTCTTGTTGCCGGCCGCCGCCGCGTCCACCTGATCGAAGATTTGAAGCCTTAAGCTTCAATCGCTGCAAAAGCCAGTCACCGGATGTGTATCAGACCACCATTAACGGCTAATTAGCCGTTATTTGATGCTCTGTTGTTGATTTCATTGGGCCTAGCCCTTGTATCTGTTAGCCTTTGGGCTTTGGTTCCATCATGTATGGGTTGGTTGGGCCAAAGGCCTCATATGTACAGCTCCTTTAATTATTAATATTAGCTTCATTCTCCGAAAAAAAAAAAGTATTGTTCATTATTTAAATGGTAAGGTTTGAAAAGTTTATTGATGAAATAATAAAGCTGTATAAGTTTTAATATAAATACTACTATAGTTTAAGGAGATTTTTTGACCAATTCTCATTTTACACTCACATCGATTTGTGCGCAGAGCGATAGAGCGCTAGTAATTTGAATAAATTATGTGACTTAGCCAGCCAACTTAGAAATTCGTTCTCATCTACAATGTCACTTATTTGATATATTTTTACTTTAATGACCAGTACTTTCGTATTCACACAACTTGGATAATAAAACAAAATGACAATAATATATAAATCTCTCTTTATGAGAAAGAGACATATGAGAATCAATTGCAACACATATGCAATAACTATTTAATACTCCTAATCCTTTCTAATATAATAATGTTAGAATAGTTTTAAATAGATCATAATATAAAGTTTATTACTATTAAATTAATTATTTCATGGTTTAGGGGTGAACCAAATGAGGTGTGGCTGATGAATCTTATTGAATAGATGAAGATGGGACGGGAAAATGGGTGTACCTGTGAATTCTCCCATGCTGTACCCATTCAGTGTCTTTACCATCCTTAATGTCAGGAGTGAAATAGAAAGAATTCGAGGATCAATACTCCACGATTAAAGTCACTAGTTGATAAATGGAAAGCTTGATTCAATCCCACGAAAACAACTCCATTACCGAGATCAGTCGCATAGTCCCAACCTCTCTTGGCCGCATTAAGCATATTATGAAATTATTTACAAATTTGAACATAGTTTAGTGAGGTTTTTTTATAATTTTATATATATATATTTGGAATCATAATATAAATAATTCTTAACCAATTTTATCGTTTGAGTACTAATTTTCCTTTACTTTTATATTTATTCAAATATGTCAGGTAAAAATTGCAATTTGTTCAAGTGGATTACAAATATTGATTCTGACAACTACAAGCAATTAGGAATAGTACTATAATCCTTGGATAATACAGTAATCTTTTGTGAAAAAAAAAAACACTCCAGAGAATTAATTTGTTGGTAAATCTATATTTTTTTTCTGTTATTACCAAGATCACTTCTTGTGTGTATAATGAATATATAAACAAAAGACATACAAATTGGTTAAGTCAGCTTCGCCCTTGTATCTCTCCCTCTTAATTCATTCCGCCTCTCGGTCTCTCTCTATCTCTCTATAAAAAAATAATGGCAACCACTTCACAGGGTTTTATAGCAAGTCAGTGCAGAGAGAAGAAACGAAAAGATTTATAGAAGGGCTATCGATTATATGTGGTTCCTATTCAGAACTATGATAACTAGTGTTGATAGTTTTTCAGAAAAAAACCAGCTTTTTCTCTCTCTTCTTTGAAAAAATGTCAGTCTTTTTCTCTCTCCTCTCCAAAATACCTCCTCTTTGCAAAATCAATTTCTCTCTCTACATTTTAAAATTTAAGCTAATATTATTTTTTTCAAAAAATAGACATTAATATATTTGCCATATAATTCGAGTGGATTTGAATAAAAAGAAAATTATTTGATTTTAATTTAGGTACGGACAACCTTTGCTTAAAAATTGTATAATTTAAATTAAATCATTTAATTTATTAAGCCTAAGCCTAATTCGAATATGTCTTAATTTTGACAAAACTCAATCCGAATATGAGTTCGATTTGTAAATTTTAAGTCCAAATTTTAAAATTTTTGAATTGGGGTTGGTTTGGGATGATTAGCCCATCTAAGTTACAATTCTAGGTTTGAACCCCTAACCTCCTGTTTGGTGAAAAAGGAATGATACTACTTGGTCAATTAGTGCTTTGGTTAAAAAAAAAAAAAAAAAAAAAAATTAATTAATTAATTATAATACTTGTACTCTTTTAAGAGATGTTTTGGAAATAAACAACACGAAATTATTCTTACCATATATCTTGAGTATTATTTTAAATTTCTAATAATTTTTTTTAAAATTTGAAACAATTATTTCAAACACATCTAGTTAAATTATACAGTGCATTTAGTTAAATTAAGGCTATGTAGTTGTTATCAAACAAACAGAGAAAGAATTAAATATGGAGTACTATTTATTAGTGGATTGTCAAATCGGTCAGAAAGAAAATGTTATTGAAATGAGTTGTATCCTCTAATAGAGTAGGATGAAAGGGTACACTGGTCTCTTCACCGAATCAACTTTAAAATTGACCGGTCAAGAGGCATGTGATTTTCTGATGCCACGCAGCAGGCATTTTTAACTCTTCAGTAAAAGGAAAACAAAGGGACAATTTGTACTTTTAGAGAGAGAAAAGATTGGAAGGGAGGGTGTGGAGTAAAAAAAATTTGTAAGACCCGTGTAAAAATAAATAAATAAATAAATAAATATATATATATATATACATATATTTATTTATTTAATTTAATTTAATGATTATCTATATTTGAATTTAAAAATATAGTAGAGATATTAGAGTTTTTAAATTTAAAATTTAAATAGGAATCCTAAACAATTTCAAATGCAGTTATAGTTATTTTTATATTTCACGTCATATCAGTTCTACGAGGACATTATTTTTTAAAAAAAATATATATAATATTAGCACGATACAGCGTGATAGGACGTAGATCCAGAGAGAGTGATCTGACGTCGTAGCTTTCTGCAGTAACTGAGGGAAGGAACGATAAGTGGGAATTCGCATAGAAAGGAAGAGTTAATTACCCAGGCAAGTTAATCTTGCATTGTAGTTCTATATATATTCGTAACTTCTTAAAAAGATGTATATTTTAACATATTTTAATATCTTGTTGCAAGTCACTGTGATGATGATTAAGAATACATTATAAATTGGTTGCATAAATATTTGTATTTAATCAAGTAACCTTAAGAGTCTTTACCTTTCTTACGAATAATATTATTAGTTGAATATGAAATTTAGATTATTTCATTGTTATAATTTATAGTAATAATAACGATTTATATATTAATGTACTCATATTTACGTGTTTGAGAATGACTATGCATGTATGTAATTTGTAGAGTTACTTTGGTTACAATTAAGATACACGAACTTTTAAGTATATTTGTATTTGTGTATATAAAATTTCATATAATCTTAACTTTAAGTTTTGATTAAGGGCAAATATAATCTACTGTAATTATATATAGTGCGTGCGTCTATGCGTGGACTGTTTGAAGTAATTTAATCTTCATGTGGTAGATATATATTTATAGGAATGAAATTCCTGTAGAGTTTCACTCAAAGAGGTATTCATGTGTGTATGTTGTTATATGGCAGTGGATTAGTACTAGAACTGGGTCTTGGAAATCATTACTTTGGGATTAAAAATCATGGTGTTTAGACTAGTTTCATGAATTAATTCACGTGTATGTTAATAAATTAAATTAATTCACATGTGTATGTTAATAAATTAAGCAATAACTAACCCATGAATGTGGGTATGACCTGTTTTTAACAAGGTGGATTTGTACTTGGTCGTGCATGGTTGGGAACACAATTTAGAGGTTATTGGCTGAGGTTCTGAAAAGAATAACTTCAAACTGGTGGAAGACCCATTTTAGGTGTTAAATTTTATTGCATAGAACTATTTTGGGTAAAAGACTCATTTGTTTTGGGTTCTATGATTCAACTACTCTCGGCAACACTGAGTGAGGAATAGTGTATTGTTGTATTGCGCTGAAATAATATACTTAACTATCATTATTATTTTTTATAGTTTTATATTAGAAAATTAAGGAAAAATATTTTAAATATTTTAAAAATTGTGTTAGATACCAGAATATTATATTTTTGTATAATGAATCTGGTTTTGTTAAAAATCCAGATTTTAAATGTTATTTAGGTAAGTTTACCAAATAAAACCTTAAAAAAATATTATTTCTCAACACTAAAAGGGAGAGTATGGAAAAACTATTAAGAGATAAATTCTGAAATTTTACAGGGTATTATATCTAATGTTAGGCTATGTCCAGAAATTTTCTACTCTCACTCGTTGGATCATTAGGGTTCTGTTTTTAAATTAAAATGATATTTGGGTGCATTAACTATTAATTTGAATTATTAATTAATGATATCTTTCATAATTCATCATAATTAATAATTAATGGATGAATTTGGATTAGTCGGAGGGGTAGTCAGGGACTGACCCTATGATGACTTTTGGATATGGTCAGGGACCTGCTTATTGGGAGTGCACTACCCTTTTATTATGGCCATGGGTCTAATGAGCCCTTATTGTGTGGACGTGATCAGGGATTATCTGGGGAGTAGACGTACAATCTAGCCACACGTGTGTTTTCGGTAGTCAGGGACTATACAAATCACATCACTTTATTGGATGGGAGCCCAGGGCTCAGATGAGATATGCAAATTTACTTAAAATAAACGATGGTTATTTATTGAGTTTATAATTAACTAGAATATACCTTTAATTAATGAATTTATTGAGTTGCTTATATATATGGGAATACAAGGTAAGGTTAGCTTGCTGAACGATGATTGTGTTTAGCATTTCTTGTTGAGCTTGTGAGCTCACCCCATTATCACATTTTAGGTGCTCGTAGAGTAGGAACGTGATGGTGACTCGTGACGGGAACGGATTTTAACTCGTTGCGCATTGATTTATTTTAGCTCGGTTTTCCTTTATTCTGATTATTGTAATAAAGTTAATGTTTTATGAAACTTTATTGAGTTGATTCAGTGGTCATAGATGTTTTGTTTTACTAGAGGGAATTGCACCTCTATTTATGGATTTGTATAAAATTTGTCAGACTCTCATTTTTGTTAAATTGAATGACGGGATTCATCGTAGTTCTATTATGGAGGATGT